TTAAGTTCCATTGCCCACTGTGGCAGCTGGCTTCACAGAACACCCTTTGCAGGCTGCAACTCTGTCCCTGGATTATTCTCCCTTCCTCACTTCCCAAATAAAATACTTTCAAATCCTTGTCTTTGAATCTGCTCCTGGGAGAAGCCAGAGAAGCCAGGGGCTGGGGTGTTGGATGTATGCAAAGATGTGGCTCAGAATCTGGCATGGATTAGACACTCTGCAAATGCTAACCCACCCATTTTATAGATGAGGACATTGAGACAGAGGGAGCAGAGGTCACCCTGCTGGGAGGTGGTATATGTAGGACGGCAATTAGAATACCCTGCATGACAACTCCGACCCATCGCCTGGACTAGGGTTTCTCAGCCTCGGCACCGTTGACACTGTGGGCCGGGTAGTTCTTCACTGGGAGGGGTTGTCCTGTGCAACATAGAAGGTTTGGAGGCACCCCTGGCCTCTATGGGCTAGATGCAAATAGCACCCCCCCCCAGTTGTGTTAAGCAAAAAAGTCTCCAAATTGCCAAATGTCCCTGGGGGTGGGGATTCCATGTTGAGGACCACTGGTGGAGAGAGCTGGGTCCAGTTGGAAAGAAGCCCAGTGAGAGATCAGAAGTCTACGCCGATGGAGAATGACAGATGACAGCACGCACATAGCCTATTTATTGACCCTGTGTAAACCTTTGATTCAATCTTGTGTCTTCTGACTCCAAATCTAGCCCACTTTCCATTATGCTCGGCTCCCTGAGATCAATTGTTCCATTGCTCTGCTTGTTAGAAAGTTCTTTCCTATTGAGCCCAAATCTGCTTCCCGGGAACTTACTTCATCCTCGTGCCCTCCAGAGCCATGCAGACGCCTAATCCCTTTTCATGGGATGGCATTTCAACTATGTGAAAACAACTCATGTGTCCGCTGCCCTATAGATTGACACCTCCTGCATGCCAGGTGCTGCAGACACACGGGGAGCAGTTGTTGGACAGGGAGTTCAAACCTCTAGGCTCTTTCTCAGACCTTTGAACAGGAATTTCCAGGGCCCTAGAGTCTACATATTTTAAAGCTTCCAGGTCATTCTGATGTAGCCCATCAACAGTCCAGTATTTAAGAATCTCTGACCTAACTTATTCCAATAAAGTTCTGATTTGTTTCTTAAAGCAGTACCTAAAAGATGGGTTTTGAAGAAATTTTTAAAAAGAAACTCCTAAAATAATAGGATATTCCCTACTAGGTCAAAGAGATACATATTCCAATTCAGTCTCATTTTCAGTATGAAGTTTATACAAAAAAAGCCTAGAAATTGATACCAAAAAATGTTAGTCAGGCTTACTTCTCCAGATAGTGGGATTAAAGCAGATTTAAAATTTTTTCTTTTTTTGTCCTTTTCTTCATTTTAAAGCTTGTAGAATGAATATGTGTGTGTGTGTGCAAATATACATTCATATATTCATATATATTGCAATCAGTTTTTTTTTTTTTTTGAGGAAGTTTGGCCCTGAGCTAACATCTATTGCCAATCTTCCTCCTTTTTTCCTTTTTTCTCCCAAAGCCCCAGCAGAGAGTTGTACATCCTTCTAGTTGCTCTATGTGGGACGCCTCCTCAGCATGGCTTGACAAGCGGTGCGTAGGTCCGCGCCCGGGATCCGAACCGGCAAACCCGGGGCCGCCCAAGTGGAGCGTGCGAACTTAACCGCTACGCCACCGGGCCGGCCCCCTGCAATCAGTTTTTAAAAGTTATTTATAAAATTGTAATGATGATCGCCTTTTTGCTATTTCTTATTGGGATGATGACACCTGGTGGAAATAAGTTACAGAAGTGCAGGACACAATCACAGAACTGGACCACTTGGGGAACGAGAAAACAGGAGAAGGATAGATTTAGAAAAAGCTCCAGGTCACCTCCCTTCATTGACGGGAATGGGAAAGAAGACCTAACAGTCATGGGACCACAGCACATCCAGATGAAGATCCTGAGTTAAAAGAAGCAGACGTAAAGAAAACGAAACGACAGTAGAGAAGAGAGTACCAAAGTTGGGTAAAAAAATGAAAATAGGCTCTTACATCTACTCAAGCTAAACCACTATTCATTCAGCTCACTGGTTAAACATACTCCCTCATAAATGCGAATAATCATTCAATTCCCATTTGCCTAAGGCTTTAATTTACATGCTCTATATTCTATTTGAAGGGTTTCCAGGCTTCCCAAATGAGCACATGATTTTCTTCTTTCCTTTTTAACTGCCTCTTTTTTCAATTAAATAAATTACAATGGCTTGCTTTTTTCTTAGAAGAGATTTTCTGATTTCCTAGTCACTGCTGCCCCAACTAAATACCCTTATTCAACTTTAAGCCTTTGACTCACGTCCCTTCTGACAGATAGATGTTCTCTTGTCCTCCTCTTGGTCGAGTCTTCTGTTATTTCCAGCTGCTAGAATCAGGGTCCAGGACAGAGGCCACGGCAGGCATGCCCCTTTCTTCAGCCACAGGAGTGCGGCTTAATGAGCACAAAGTTTGCAGGGCCATACAAAACCCCAACTACCCAACCCCTACTTCTTCTTAAAGTGAAATATAAGTTTACATTTTAAACTGCATCACAGCAACTGGATACCGTAGAGGACAGCATCTGTTTTGCTGGAGTAATTTTCTGAATCTTTTGAGGGTGATTCCATTTTATGTTGCAAAGAGTGTGTGTGTGTGTGTGTGTGTGTGTTTGTGGGTCTGTGAGAGAGAGAGAGAAAATTGAGAATTGAGAAAGAGAGAGAGAGAGGAAATTCTAGCAAAGTAGTGTGTCTGAACACTGGTGGATAATGCTACCCTAAATAACTTGGACTGCCACTGGCTGGCTTTTGTTCATAAAGTGCTAATCCTTTCAGGTGCAGATCTATATAAAACATTAGGGATTCAAATGTGCACAGAAATCTCAGTCTCTTCTGCTACATAAGGTAAAGATGCATTTAAACTAACAGTTCAATATTATTTTGAAGTTACTAACAAGGAGTCATTTTAAAAACTTCCCAATTCTTTAGTAAATACTAACATAAGATACATATCATATGAGTGTAGAACTAATGAGGAACACTAGGTAGATTACTGTAGTTCTTTTCTAGATTGCTTTTCAATGCACAGCTGTCTTTGGGAAAAAATTACTTTCTCATGTCACCTATAACGGTGGGGGAGGGAGTCAATTTATTTCATAAGGAAAAGTACCACCTGGTATTTGACTGAGAATAATTCCTTCCTTGCCTGCAAAATGAAGAAATGTCTTAAATTTAATGCGCAGAGTCCCATGGTGCAGGATGGGAGTCCTGCATACAGGGTTGTAGCACAGGATACCCTCTAGCTTCTGGAGATGAGAGCAGTTGATACTGTATGTGTGAGAGGCTTTGCGTAGAATACCTCTCAATTCCTACAACGACCATATGATGTAGGCCTCACATTATCTACATTTGCCACAAAGATTGTACATGACAGAGCCAAGGTTCAAATGCCATCCGGCACCACAGTGCTGAGACTTCCACACTGAAGATGCTCTACGTACTCATAAACAACCAGTCTGTTATCTTTTAGGGGGAACAATTAACTTCCTGGAGTTGTGGGAAAGTTGAAAAGAAGGAGCAAGTAAGTATCTGCAAGAGAAAAACTTCTGCACAGCGCAGACGGGTAGAGCACTCTTGGCTGACTTGGTGAGTTGGAGAACTGGGGTAAATATTTGATTATTTGATTCTAGAGCCTGTGAAAATGCTAACTTACTTACACAGCAGTCTCCTTTGTTTAAAGTCCTGTTGCACGTTCAAGTGAGGGACACGCAGCCTCTGCAGGTGTGGAAGGGAACTACATTGGCCGCGGGGCTGGCGCTCTTTCTTGAGTCTTGTCCTGTGGAGTGAGCCAGTGCCCAGTGGCTGGATTTCGTGTGGTTTTTAGGTCAGCTGGTTAGTAGTGGTGTGGCTGATGTGTCTAGTTGCTACTCCCAGTTGGCTGAAACCATAAGATCAGGCAATTTTGTGTGTGGAGAATAAACTCAGGATGGTAAACAGAAATAAGGAACACCATTTACATTTTGTAAAAAAGACTAGAAAATATCGCTGACAGCTAAGCTTTATGAGTAATTTCAGGACCAAGTAGGCCAGGAACCCAAGGCAGACACAAGGCTCGAGCTGTGTCCCACCTCATGGTTAAGAAGGTAGGATCTACAGCTGGACCTCTTGGGTTTGACTCTCAGCTCTGCCGCCGGCCAGCTGCACGCTCTTGGGCCGCTTTTTGATCTCTCTGTGCCTGAATTTCTCTCATCTGAGAGGAGGCATAATAATAGCATCTACTTCATGGGGTTTGTTGTGAGGACTAGATGAATCAACACTCTTAAAGTGCTAGAATGATGCCTGGCAACGCCCCAATGAGTCCTGCAACCGGGCCAGGTGTTACTATTTTGATGCCGATCAATGATCCCAACAGCCAAGTGGCCTTTTCTGAATCAGGTTGCGTTTTCCTGTGCTGGACTTATCACTTTCGCTCTTCTGTTTCTCGCCTCAGCCCTGGAGGTTGGCAGATATTATTGCTCCCTTTTTGCTGATGAGGAAATGGCTCGGAGGGGATTAAGTGAGTTGCCAAGTGTTAGAGTGGGGAGCCAAGTCAGGTTCCTGGCTCTCAGCCCCCAGCGCTTTCTACTGTCTTGCAGTAAAGCCTCAGATGAAAAGGGAGCAGCCTATGTGGGTCTAAATGCGGGCTTCTCTTCCCTGATGTCATTAACCCCTCAATCCACAAGGTACCCCCAATGGTACTTTCTGCTGGACCAGATTTCCTTTAAGGTTCAGTTCCAAAAGCTATTAGCAGTACATTTTATAGCTCAGCAATGTAGTACCTGTCCCCCAGCTACAATTGCTCTGTTTTTGCATTTCTTCATGCACAGAACAGGTTTGGTAATGTTTAATGGTCTCCCTCCACTTTGCTCTGCAAAACCAGGATGGCAGCTCCTTGGGTGGCCGCTTTGCTCTCCCAGGGAACTAAGCTGAAAAGCAGGTGTTCTTTTCTGCTCAGCAGATGCTAAAGCGATAAGCTGCAGCTTTTAGAGCCTTCTGGGAGGTTCAGACAGCCTGGGCTGAGCAACCCGGGTCTCGTCCAGCTCTCTCCTCTCCAGCCCGCTCCAGTTATGGACGTGTGTCTGAGCTCCGAGCAGCAGCCCGGGCACCTGGGCAAAGGACCGAGCACCCCAGACGGCTGGTTAGAGGCGGAGGAGGAGGGGGATCTCCACAAAGATGGCACCAGCAGACCTCCAGGAGGTAACATCCTTTTTCCTCACCTGAACACCTACTCAGTTGTTTTCCTGGTGATGGCATTTTACAGGGGACTTCAGTGACAAGAATTTCCATTTCCTTTTAACTCTAGATTTTTCTGATAATGAAGCTTAGTAGAAAAATGCCTTTATGCAAGCATAAGCATAGCATTGAAAGTAAAGATCCTACTTTTTTTTTACTTATCAAAGTCCGCAAATTTGTTTTTATCTTGTATATAAATCTAAGATTGCTATATTTTTGTAACAAAAACTTTTAAAAAGAAAATCTAGATTCATTTCTGCTTTTTGCCAAAATGTATTCCAGGCAGCTGTGTTGTACAGTGGATCCTTGTAAATCAAAGTGTATCTTCTCCTGAGGACAATGTAACCCTTAGGGCTGCATTTCTGGGCACTCAGTAGTAAATAAATAATAGACATAACAAGTGGTGTCATAAAAAGCCAAGATACAGCATTTAAAACATTTACAATCATTTAACGTGGTAAAATTATGTTCCAACTACTAAACCAGGATGTTACTTATTTTTACTAAAATTTTTACATAAAAATGCAACTCTACCTATCTCTAAAATCTGATCTCTCTAAAACTATCAAGGTAGCATACATACAATAAACAAAAATATTTAATGCACAATAAACATAAATTTCTTTATCTTTGTAGTATATAAGAGGGTCTTTTGGGAGAATATTTATATGCCCATGTTTCTTTACGTTGTTGATCCGGAAAGTATAACCGACAGCTTATTATTTGTTGGTTTATTTCCCTGTGAAATGACGAGCCATTCAAAATCAGCCCATTGACATTTCCTAAAGTCTTCAGAGAAAAATAAGTCCCCAGTTGGTGATATGTGGGAGGAGGGAAGAAGGAACAGTCTGGATCATAGTTGGGGGAGGGAAGGCTGCAGGAGTTGGCTCAGGTTCCTGATGGTCTGGCTGCTCTGAGTCACCTACTCCACTGATGAAAGCCTCAGAGGAAAGGAGAGAAGCCCTGTACCGACTCCAGGTACCGACCAGCCTGTACCAGCACCCGAGTTTTAGGAATTTTGCTAACTGGTTGTTAAACATGGCCGTTATTGAAATTTAAGTTATATAAACTTACATTTAAATAGATTACATAAAAGGCAAAAGTATATGAAAAATCGCAGGTAATAAATACCCACGACTCATCATGAATCATTTTACTGCATTTTATAATTACGCTCTTGAGGCTGTTGATGTGCACTGTTTCCGTGCGGTAGGAACACTACGTGGGGGTGCGCTGCTGCGCATCTTTCCCAGTGACGTCCCGCGCGTGGTTTGAAATCGCCAGGGTGGGAGTATTCACACCACGGTGATCGTCAAACCCCGCAAACCAGTGCCGCTTCTCCTTGCCCCAAACTGGTTGTTAAACATTTAGCGGCACATGGTGGTCTACTCCTCTGCCTTCTTATTGTGTCTGAAACAGAATTCAGAGTCAGCCTCTCAGCCCCACGGGAGAAGCCACGGCCTCTTTGGTCATTCATACATACTGGGTTTGTGTTAGATGTGAGTGGCTTCCCATAATAACAGGTAGCTGAGGGCCACAGGTCTCCTTCCCTCCCCCACCAGGACACGCGACGGGAAAGGACAACGTCTCAGGGCTGACTCAGCCACCACGTAGCAGCAGGTTCTTGCAAGCTCAGTGAAGTCCCGCGTCTCTGGAAGCTCACCTTCCTGGTCAGGGCAGAGAATCCTCCTTCCAGGGGTGCCACACACTAAACCAGAACCTGGGGCCCTCTGCAGAGCTGCGGACATCCGTTAGGCTGGTTTACAAACCGGTCCCTTTGCTCACACTGTGGTCAAAGACTATTTGGACACTTTTTTTTTGTAAAATACAGCAAAAACAAATTTCTAGAACAACAAAATGAAAATACAAAGACATACAAAATACAAGCCCCGTTTTTTACGCAATTAGATTCAACAGACATGGTCAAATTGTTGTCAACATTTCTAAATGCTTGCTCCAAATTTCTGTACTCTTTACTGTGAACCTGCTATAAAAGGCTTGCAAGGCAGCAGCACAGAACTGCCGTGGTGCTTAAGGACATCAGTGCTGCCAAAATCGCCCGGTGGTTCTGCCGCTGAGGGGTGGACTCCTGACTGGGTTTCCTCCAAGGCCTCCCTCACCATGTATTCACGCCCTCCGCCCTCTGCCTCCTCCTCTTCCGCCTCGAGCGTATGCGTATTTCTCATGAGAGCACCTCAAATGTTGACTGACCACTCCTTGCTGCTATTCTCCAAGGCCCACAGCCCACCCGTGGTTAAAAACGTCCTAGGCATATCCCAGGCCACAAAGGCAGATTTCACGCATATTTCCCCCGCAAGCTCCTTGCAGCAATTCCTTCTTACCACTGGTACCAACAGCTTCTCCTCGTCTGCCGACGGCCCCTAAGTGTGCGTGTGCTCAGCATCCTCATTCTTGACATTTTAACTCACTGCTCTTTTTACTCTGAAACACTCTCCAAAACCTTAAAGAATTTGTGCTTCTATGATGTCAGCCTCGATCAGGTGATCAGGTGCTCTTTTCCTCTCATTTTATATGACATTTGAGAGCTGCAAGAGTGGGTCATGAGAGTAAAGGAGTATTTAAAGCAATAGTAACTTAATAGCCAGAGCTCATCTGACAGCCTCCCCCAGGACCGTGGAGCTGGCTCGTCTTTGGGTGACCTGTACCTTTTGAGGAGCAGTTGTAGGAAGGGTTTAAGGAACATGCTCCAGCCAACATGTGGGAATGTTATTTCACTTCAAGACCTAAAATTAGCCAGGTCCATGTCTGCCTAGGTCCTCCTCCAGACAGCTCATTTGTGCGATTTGGCTGGTAAGCTAGCTTCCTCCTGTTATTAAAACAGGGTGGGATTGAGCCACCTCTTCCATCCTCTTCTAAACAGAGGAAAGGACCCAGGGCATCCTTTGGCATTTTGTCATATTATAAAAATGTCACATCTGAATTTCACGTCCCTGTCACCCCATATCATTCAGCTTTGTGCTCGTTTGCTGGCATCACTCCCTCTTTGTGGGAAGGTTGCTCAACCTGTTCCCATCTTGCAAATTTGTAACTCGTGTATGTTTGCACTGGATCAACAAATCATGAAACCTATTTTATTTTCTGCCCCACAGATTCTAACAAGATAGAACCATCTCTTCAGAGTCTCCAGAAATTTGTTCCTACAGATTATGCCAGCTACACTCAGGAGCACTATCTGTTTGCAGGCAAGAAGATTGTCATTCAAGAGTCGATAGAGAGTTACGGAACGGTGGTGTGGCCAGGGGTGAGAGAATCGTTACATTTGGCATGTCAGGATTTCTGGGGATGACAGTAACAATTTTGTCCATCTTTGTTGTCTTGTACGATTTGCCAAGTGCTTTCACATTCTGTGCTTCTCCAACTGAGGGGCAATTGTTGGCCCCCAGGGGAGTGGGTGTGTGCTGGGCTCTGCAAAAACACACCATCTCTTCAAGAAGCATTCATTTTCCTCTATGCTATGTTTCTTGAAACATTATTTTTTACATTAAAATAAACTCAAATATGTTAGGAAGCAAGATGAAAAATTCGTGTAAATTGTTATGAAATTGAATTGAATTCATATGAATGAATTGAATTCATATGAATTGTTAGCGTGGATGTGAATCATTTTGGGTTCATGTTAAAATGCAGATTCCAATTTAGCAGGTCTGGGGGCCTGTGCCTCTGCATTTCCTACACACTCCCAGGCGATGCAAACCTGCGGTCGAGGGACCCCAAGCTCAGTAGCCATGATTACAGGTTTCATGGCGCTTCCTTGGGGTGACCTGGGGGACTGGAGGCAAGTGAGAGGGCGAGAAGAAGGAGAGGGGAGAAAGGGAGGGACAGCCAAGGGTCTCCAGGCTCTTAGAGCTCTCCCCTCCCCTTCCCCCAACCAAGGAAGCTCGATTTTTGCCCCTTATGCATGTAAGTATGATTTCCTTCAAACAAAGGCTTTTCTTTGGCTTAACAACAGGTTGAAAACCACCAAATGATTCCACAGCTTCCTATTATAATATTTTGGCCAATTGACAACTACAGCAGGGGTATCAGAGATCAGGAATGGAAAAAGAGTGTTTGTCCACTGGCCTGTTTTAGTCTCAGTGAGGCCCCAGGCTTTCGTACACCAAACCCTGGCCTCTTTTGGGACCTCAATTTCCTGAAAGCTGCAGGAAAAGGGTTTATATAAAGTGGGAAAACACTCTTTTCTTGTGTGGCTTCAAGCGCAGCTTGAAGTTTGCTAATAGGACTAAGATGGGGGGCAGCGGGCTGCAGGGGGAAGTGTTTCCAACATCAAAAGATGCAGCTGTTGGTGAGAAAAGCTTTCTCTCCAGAGAGCACATGAGTGGGGCCGGCCTCTCACAGGGCAGTGAGGAAGGAAGCCTTGGCCTTCTCTTCAGAAAACCCCTCAAAGCGTATGTCCTCATCACGGCTCCAGGTGACACTCTTCCTAGTATTGAAACCCCCACAGAGCGAATCCTTGCTCCTCAACAACCGAAGAAGTCCTTTCCCCAAGACCTCCCTTCCCAACCCCAGAGCTCCTTGCAGTGTGCGCATGTTGGTGCTGTTTCACCTGCCGCCCCTCGCCTGGCGTGTCGCCCCCTCCTTGTTTGTGGTCACCCATCCTTCAATACGCAGGTCACCTCTCACTGGGCTTCCCCGTGTACCCGGCATGTGCTTCCTTCAGGCCCCCGACCTCACTGTCCCTCACTGTCGTGCGGTTTAGAATCGATTGACATGCCCCTTCCCCCACCCCACTGAATCCCTTGAGAGGAGAGACAACTGTTCATGCTCCTCTTTGCACGTGACTGCTCCATATGGACAGAGGAGGAAGAGAGGGAGTGACCTATGGGCTTAGGTTTACTGCTGATCCTGCCGCTAGCCAGCCCGAGAGCGGCATTTCTCAAATAATCCTGGCCACCCCCGACTCCAGCCTGGGCCCAAAATAGCAGGTGGAGTCATAGGAGCCCAGAGCATCTGTAGGAGGAGGAGGGCTAAAAGTATCTGCAGTCTGGAGAGTTCAATTTGGTTTCTCACCTCAGTATTCACATTCCCAACTCAATAACTTCCTCATGCCCAACTCTCCCCAATGCCTCTGATCCACGGCGTTGCTAACTGACACCCCACTGGCATAAATGTAAATGCCTCGTGAATCAGTGCAAATCCAATATCCTGTATCTCTTCTAGAAAGGTCAGGAGGACGTGGAGACGGAAGAGAATGAAGAAAGAAGGAAAGGGACGTTTGATTTTCTGTATAAAAAGCTACCTTAATTTATTCCCAAATGTTTTTTAACATCTTGTTGCTAATACTCAAAGTGTGGTCCACGGACCAGCAGCATCGACATCACCTGGCAGCTTGCTGGAAATGCAGTCTTGGGCCTCCAGACCTACTGCACGAGGATGTGCCTCTTTAACCAGGCCCCGGAGGATTCATTGCACAGTGAACTTGAGAAGCACTGCTCTGAGTGCTAAGTCAAGTCCCAACCAACCTGAATTTTGATAGAGGAGCCAGGAGGGAGGTGCTGAAGAAGTTTATACAGCAACATTCTTAAAGCAGGCAGAGGTTTATTCATGTCAGGCCTCCGCCTGCTTTAAGAATGTTCTTTAGGGCTCCTTTCCTGCATTTCTAAGAGCTGATCTGATCTTCCTATTTCTGGAGATTGATCCAGAGTCTTCTGATATAGGCAATTTAAGAAGTCTGTTTCTCCAGTTCCTTTGATGCAAATTATAATTTTCATATTCCAGAGGTCCCAATATGGCATTGAATGTCTATTTTGATTCTTACGAACCCCTCAGTAAACTAAACTTTTAATAAGATGTCTTTTAGTATCTAACTCGGGGTGGGGAAGGGGGTTGCTACTGATTTCCAATGTTCCAATGCCCAGGTGACAACTGCAAATGTTTTTTAGGCTATGGCTCTGTGTCAGTATTTGGAGGAACATACAGAGGAACTGAATCTCCAAGATGCTAAGATTCTTGAAATTGGTGCTGGACCAGGCCTTGTTTCCATTGTGGCCAGTGTTTTAGGTTTGTTTGTTTGTTTATTCCTGACTTTGTTTCAAAAGCCCTTTACTGTGACAACAATGACAGTGAGTGCTTACTGTGTGACCGGCTGTGGTTTAGGTGTTTGGCCATGATTTCACTCATTGGCTCCCCCCAAAATGTCATGAGCTAGGAATTGCTACTGTTATCCTAGAAATAAGATAATTGCATCTTAGAGAGGTTAAGTAACTTGCGCAACCCACTGATTACCATGTGATGAAGCTGCAATTCTGGAGGTGTGACTCCTGAATCCCTGCTGTAGACCACTATGTGATACTGTCTCCCGCTTTTTGCTGCAAATATTATAACTAACATTTTGAAGAAAATAAGTGAGTTAATCCAGGGTGAAGACAGATTTATACCCCAAATGCGGGTTGTGAGTTCCTGGGCACTGGGGAAGAGGTGGTACAAACCTGGCATCCTTCTACCTACACTCTTATAGTTCTGCTATTAAAACCAATCTGCAAATATGCCGATCTATTTTGTGAACCCTCATCACTAGCCTTAAAATGCCTAAGAATTAATTTAACGAATTTAGGTACAGGGGAGAGTCATGCAAAATAGATCATCCTTTGTGGGAAAAAAACTGCATGCTGAATATTTCTTTTAAGAGAAAAACAAAATCTTCAGATAAATACAATTTTAGAACGAAAAACATTATGAATTATTATATTAAGCAGATGCTAAGAACTTTAGTACGTTTAGCTAATTATCCCGAAATCTCCCAACATTGCCCCACTATTTAACTTATAGTGTCTTGAAAAATGAGAACATTATTCTAGCTCAGTGGTTCTCAACAAAACGTGATTTTGCCCCACAAAGGGCACTTGGCAATGTCAAGAGATGATTTTAATTGTCACGACCTCGGGGTGGGGTGGGGAGCTGCTACTGGCATCTAGTGGATGGAGACCAGGGATGCTGCCAAACATCTTACAGTGCACAGGGGAGGGCTCCCCATAAGAAAGAATTATCCAGCCAGAATTATGCCAAATGTCAAGCCCATTTGTCAGTCGAGCCAAGGCTGAGAAGCCCAGTTCTATTGCTTGTGTTTCTCCCCGAGAGTATATGTCTACTGTGGCTGCCCAAGTGTTTCCACGTAATCGTTACAATGTTTTCCCTTTCTCTCTTAGGGGGTCAAGTCACAGCAACGGATTTGCCTGATGTCCTAGGAAACCTTCAATACAATCTTTTAAAGAACACACTAAAATGTACAGCACATCTGCCTGAAGTGAAAGAACTGGTGTGGGGAGAAGACCTGGAACAAAACTTCCCCAAGTCAACTTGCTATTACGATTACGTTCTGGCCTCGGATGTGGTCTACCACCATTACTTCTTGGACAAGCTGCTCGCCACCATGGTGTACCTCTGTCAGCCAGGCACGGTGTTGCTTTGGGCAAACAAGTTCAGATTCAGCACTGATTACGAGTTTTTAGATAAATTCAAGCAAGTTTTTGATACAAAACTCTTGGCTGAATTTCCAGAGTCATCCGTGAAACTTTTCAAGGCAGTACTAAGATGGGACTAAATGAAACAAAATGCCTTTCAAAACATTAGTGTGTCTTTTGAGCAGTGTTAGAAATTGCATTGTCAATAAAAGGCTTATAAGATTGAGAACGCAGTGCATAAAAATAACTTGTATACCTAGAATAGACATAACTTCATATTGCAGCAGCTTTCTAAACTAACCTACTTGAGCTTTAAATAGCCACAAAGAATAACATGAAAACATAAAAGTAACTTTGTTGGCTTCCAAAAGTTTCATAAATTTTACAAGAATACGTTAATAAACAAGTGGATTCCCTGTTATTTCTGCTGTAGAGCAGTTTTAAACTTGTCCACATACTTTTGTGACATGCTTTTTGCGACTGAGCCTGACAGGGTGTTTCTGTCTCAATTTGGAGAAGCTACTTACACTGATTTTAACCATGGCAAAGGGAGGGGACAGAAAACAGTTACAGGCTGAACACTCACGAAATGTGAACAATACAGACACGATACTGGAAATGAGGAAATGCGTGTCGTCTTAGGAACTTTTCAAGAGCATTTGCTCTACAGGTACTCTCGCGTCAATCGCCTAGGATCATTTCAAGTTAGATTTCTGGATTGTCTGCTTTTTTTACAACTTTCAACTACAATTAAAATTCTTGGAAAAGTAGGGAAGAACGGAGTTTTTGTTTGTTCTGATAGAGGAAGTCTACAAAAAAACCCCCCCAAAGTCACAATTATAAAATGTTAAAAGCTTCTCCTTTGAGATAGGGAAAAAATGAAAAATTCCAACTACCATCATTTCTCAATATACACTAGAGATTTTAGCCAATGTAGTAAAGGAAAGGAAAGAAATAAAACATGCAAATTCAGAATGGAAGAAATAAAAGTGACACAATTCATGGATGATACGATTGTTTTGGTACGACAAGGTCAGCAAGTTTTTTCTGCAAATGGCCAGATAAGAGACATTTTAGGCTTTCCAGGCCACATATTGTTTCTGCAGAATTTTTTTTTTACAATGATTTATGAAAGTGCAAGAACCAGTTTTAGCTTGCGGACCCTGTAAAAACAGGCTGTGGGTTGATCTGGCCTGGAGGCCATAGTTTGCTGACACTGGAGCTGTAGATAATCTACAATGGAATTATTGGAATTTATAAGAGTTTAGCAAGGTTGCCAAATGTCAATATATAGAGATCAATGGTTTTATAAATTCTAACCACAAATAGTTAGAAAATGAAATTTAAATAAAGATATCACTTACAATAGCAGTATTAAATACTCAGGATAAATCTAACAAAAGATATGCAAGATATACACAAATTTATAGCAGTATTGAGACAAAATGAAGAGAACTTAAGTAAATGGAGAGACATCCCAAGTTTGTGCATTGGAAGACATTTTAAAGATGTCGGTTTTCTCCAAATTGATCAACAGATTATGTGCGGTCACATGTAATCTCTCTTGTGAATCTTGTCAAGTTGATTCTAAAATTATATAAAAATGAAAAGTCTAAGAAGATTCAAAGCACTCTTGAAGAAGAACCTGGTGGGAAGATTTGCTTTACAAGAAATCAAGAGGTATATAAAAGATGTAATAATTGAGACAGCAATTAGTATTAGTTGCTAATACTAATACACATTGGTATTTCTTAATACACACACACACATTGGTATTTCTTAAAGTAAACTTTAAAGCCAACTGTAAACCAATTAACATAAGTAGCTATAAATTTAAAGGCCAAATGAGCATTCTAGACATAATTCCAAAGATTCAGTTGCCTCTATTTTTCTCCTTTATTGATATTGCCTATTACAATTTGAGTCTCTAAGGTATTTGGTGATCAGTGTTTTGAAATGCTCTTCAATATCTCTGGATGGAGATGAAAATTTCCTCTCTCTTTTATAGTGAATAGCAGTGTGTTCATCAACTAACAGCAAGATCTATACAGTAAAATTCTACGTCCAAGATTTTGAAACTAATACTTAAAAAAATAAGCAGAGGAAATTATGTCCCCTACCACCACCAAAAAAAAGAAAAAAATTCTTGGCCAAGACAAAAGCCTTAATTTCCTTTTCTTAAGCAAAGAGAAAGAAAACAAACATGCTTATCGAAATGCCCTCCCTTAGGATATGGAACTTACAAGCTCAGGCCCCTAAAAGCAGAAGAAAAGTTGTGGGAAGGGCAGGATATCTTTTATATCCAGATCATGTGTAGCAAGCACAGATGTTCACCCGGTGATTCCAGATTATTCCACCCAATTCTACTTGCTGCTGCTTCTCTGTCTCATGTGAGCAAGGATGGAAAAGACAAGTCAATCTAGAAAACACTGGTTAGTACACAGCTCAGTAATCACATCAGTTGATATCAGCATAAGGATAGACATAGACGGCAATGGAATAGAGTCCAGAAGTCAGCCCACACATGTGTGGTTTATTAATTTTAGACAAAAGAGCCAAGGTAATTCAATGGAGGAAAGTACAGCCTTTTTTTTTTTTTTTTTAATTTTTTGTTTATTGCAGTAACATTGGTTTATAACATTGTAAAAATTTCAGGTGTACATCATTG